TGCCCGTCCCACTTAGAAGCGGACAAGGCCATCTCAACCTTCTCGTTCGATCCTAGCCTCTAGCCGAGCCCATAGGATCCCCATTGAGGGGGAATCTGTTGGAAGGCGGGCTAAGGAGCAACAGAACGCCCCCTGAGGGTTTTACCGACCCCGTCACAGGTGACGGAACCGGATTTTGTTCGAACATGCCCGTTAGTGAGCTCGCCGAACACGTCACTTGAGCCATCGAGACAGGTAGCGTTAACTCAACCCCACCGGTTGCGAAAACTATGGACGGGGCAACAGCCACAAAAACGAGCCGACCCTCGACCGAATCCCCGCCATGCGCGGGGGCTCGAGGAAGATCGGACTTACAAGGAGACCGAACGCACGGTCGCAGAACGATAGCTAAAATCCTAAGGAAGGGGTACGTGCGAATACAAGAGTAGTTTCGCTATCCTCTCTTCGGTCTTCAGTAACATTCGACCCCAGCAACCGTAAGGGGTCAGATCTCACTCGGGGCTGATAAAAGTATAAAACACCCTTTTTCGAAATAGTCGTTGTGTTGGACCTCATTCTCATGTTAAGGTTGGTGGCAAGGTTTGTGGGAACGAATAACCGAGCGTGCCTAGTCAGACTGCAAAAAAACACACCCCGACGGCTACGGTAACTTTGCTCACCAGCATAATCAAAGTTTCCCTCTTACACACCTCGGGCCCTACGATCTTAACGAACAGAAGGGTCGGATTGCATGAGCCCCTTTTTCGAATACAAAAAGGGAAGAAAGCAAGTTCAATCAAACGAAACAAAATTATGAATTTGTTTAACGAAACAAAGTTACGAATCTATTTTGAAGATACAAAAGGATCGGCACCCCCCACTTCCTCCACGATGAGGCGCCCGGTAAACTCTGGCAAGGGAGCAGCTACGTCGTTCCTAACGTAGAACCAATGCGAATGCCACCCCTTGTTGGAGGTTGACAGGCGCATCGGCGGTACTCGTTGACCCGGTTGTTGTGGAGCTGGATGCCGACGCATCCCATCGGCACGTTCAACTCTTGCCTCTTCTCTTGCTTCTTCAGGAGGGTGACGACAAAGAAATACTGCCACAGGTCGAAGTGGGGACTAATCCCCAAGAACCCCTCACATAGGGCGACAAACGCCACAATGTGCTGGATCCCATTGGGAGTAAGGTGCTGCAGCTCCACCTTGTAGTAATGCAGCAACCCCCAAAGGAACTTATGGGCGGGGGTGGCAAATCCCCGCTCGTGGAAGTGAGTGAAGGACACAACATAGCCTTAGGGCGGCGACGGCGCGTCCTCATTGTCGAGCAGTCGCCACTCCTCGGCGGCGGTCTGCGCGCAAAGAAGGCTGCAGCGAACGAGGCCCTCTAGGCGCTGGAGGGTGACATTGGATCTACACCACGGCTCCATTAAACGATTGGGGTGGATGGATGCGAACTTGACGGCGGCTGAGATGCGGATGCGGGAGGCTTAGGCGATTGGCGGTGGAGGTTGTAGATGCAAAGGCAAGGAGGCAATGTACGAAACCCTGGGGGCAAACCCTTTGGTTTTATAGGGGCGATGGATGCGAGGAAGGCAACCGTCCGCCTGGATCTCCGCGCCTGCCACGATTCGCCACCACGTCACCACGCGGGATATGCGCCCACAATCCCTATCCTTTCCCTCCGAAGATGCGCCGGATGTTTTGCCTCCCCGGGCAGACCAGGACTCTTTACCAGCAAAAAGATATAGGTCAAAAAGCGTTCCTCCAGGCCCGACTGGGCCAGGAGTTCGAGGGCTAGCCCATCAATGGTTTCGATGAACCGTCCCAAGGCACCCTTACGATAAAGGCTGAGCCCACAATTGGCCAAAACTCAGATGCACAAGTCTCATGAGACTCTCGGTCCACGATCGAGTCTCAGCCTGGCTGACCCTGGACAGATCCCCGCGGATGGGATACCAGGACCCAAATTGGGCTATCCGGCTAAACAACCACCGAACCTCACAGCCATACCCGAAAGGGTCCGAATCACCCCCAGGTGATTCGATCCGAATCACCCGGGGGCTCGGGGACTACACCCGACGGGTGCACTCGCGCGCACCCTCTGGCAAGTCGAATCACCCCGCGGGCGATTCTATCCGAATCATCCAGGGGCTCGGGGGCTACACCCGTCGGGTGCGCTCACGCACACCCTCAGGCAGGTCAAATCATCCCCCGGGCGATTCTATCCAAATCACCCGGAGGCTCGGGGCTACTGTTGAGGACCAAATACTGGGGTACCCAAAGAGGAGCTAATAACCATCAAACGTTGACGCTTTCGAACAGACGAGCACGACTACATCTATTTCCTAACGACCAAGAGCAAGCTCCGCCTCGCCCGACGTCCAGGGGCAGACTCCGCCTCGCCCGACGTCTGGGGCAAACTCGCCTCGCCTGACGTCCGGGGGCGACGTCTGAGGGCAGACTCTGCCTCGCCCGACGTCTGGGAGCAGACTCCGCCTCGCCCGACGTCCGAGGACAGATTTCGCCTCGCCCGACGTCTGTGCGCTACTCCTTCATAACTACGCGAGCAGATAAGGCGGGGCACTCAAGTCAACCGCAATACCAAGGACCATACCCTGCACGCTGCAGGAAAGTACCATCAGGATATGACCAGATGGGCGCTTTAAGCCCTTTCAGGCATGTCAGAGCCCAAACAGTGTTGTGGGCGCCGACATTTGTCCTACAATGTTATAGGCGCCGGCATTTGCCCTGGGACACGAATCTTGACAGAAACATACGACAACCACTACGGTTTAGGAGGAAACTCATGTATCTACAGTAACGAACGAGGGGCCTCTACGCCGTCTGCTCCCCGTAGGGTCACGGCTCGGCATCCTGGTGCGTCGCACCGCCCGCCAGGGCGAGATGGGACGTGACCACTTGCTGAACGAAGCCAGAGCACGACCCTATCAGGATCAGCGAACGTGCTATCCCTGGCACCATTTGCCGTGTCAGTGGAACCTTCGAAGGACCTTCTTGACCTCTGATTTTTCTTCTTTCTCCCATCTGTAACCCCTGTTCCCCCTTGATCTATAAAAGGGAAGGCGGGCACCCCACTAAGGGGATGGATCGATTCAACACACCACGCACCACATAACACACAGCTTAGTAGCAACCAAGCTCTCAGCGGCCTTCCAACCTTTCCATCAGAGACTTGGGACCTGTCCCTCTCTCGCCCGTTTATACCCCCTACTACGAACCTTTCAGTGCTAATAACACGAGCAGCATCCGCAAACTGGACGTAGCGACATTCTGCCCGAACCAGTATAAACCTTATGTCTTTTAGCACACCATCCAGGCCGAACGAGCAATAATACAAATTTACTTGTTGGTGTTTACTCGAAACACCGACACTACCCATCCAAATTTAAGTCCTCGGCCTAGCATAGGTACTCGCGTTTTCTAGGATTTATTCTAGAATTTAGCGGCGCTATAGTTTTAGCAGTAGGCAACGTCTCCTTCGACAGTGAGGCGTCTGTGGTGACTTCGTGAATCTCAAAATCTGCCGACTCAATTCGTCGAAGGTGCTCATAGAGGTAGGGTTTGCGTACGTGTGTTCATAGAGATGAGTGCACGCGTGTTGTGGACATCTACGCTGTATTGTGTAATTCTCAAAAAAAATCATGATGTGGTAATATGTTATACTACTCAACAGATTGCTCGGAGTCAAAGTACCTCCTGTAGGTGGCCAAATGTAATTTCCTTCTAGAGTAGAAGCTTCCTTCTAAGCCATTGGATATGTTTGTATACTACTCCACAGGATATGTTCTTTTGAACTTATCAGCTATGGTATAGTGTTTTCTCTCACAATAAAACAGTATCAGCCAGCTTATTAGCCACAAAAACCATCAACCGAATAGCTCATGGCTTCTTCGTGCATTGTAGCAAAAAGCCAGAGTTATTTAGTACTCTCTTCGTTCTAAATTATACGATGTTTTGGCTTTTCTAGATATATAACTTTTGCTATATACTGAAATATTACACTATATCTAGTCTAGATATGTAATAAAAGCAATGTATTTAGAAAAGTCAAAACATATTATAATTTAAAATGGAGGAAGTACCGAATAACTCTGGCTCTTTGCTACCATGCACGAAGAAGCCATAACCGGTAAAGCCAAAAATAATAACTTGTTAAGCTCCTAATTCGAAAAGCCAAAACATATTATCCTCCCTCCATTCTAAATTAATAAGTCACTTTGTTTTTTATGGTTTATCTATTTTGCTTTGTATCTAGATATGTTATTATATCTAGATGCATAGAAACATAAATGTAAAAAAAATTAAAACGACTTGTAATATGGAACGGACGGAGTAATTTAAAGTGGTGAAAGTAGTAAATAACTCTGGCTCTTTGCTACAATGCACGAGGAAGACATAACCGGTAAAGCCAAAAATAATAACTCCTAATTTATTTTAAGAGAGAGATAAAACGGTTCCCTGCTACAATGGATGAAAGAGCCAGAGCCGACATCGGCCAGAGGTCCACCAAAACAGATTTATTTAGTACTCCGTACTTCCTAAATACAGCTTGGAACGGGGAGGGGGCTTGCTTTGGATACTACTCGGCGTCCAGCACAACAAAAGGCCCAACAAGCATGCTACCACTATAGGGCGAACCACTTCAGCAATGCAATCAAACGACGACCATGCAACATCTACACAACAAATTTCATAAGCATACAAACATCAGATTCAACTTAACATGCAAAGTTCTGACTTTATGGATTTATCTCACACTATAACGAATTGAAATATAACTTATGATTTGAATCCTGACACCTTATACCTATCTCAAAGCAGAGTAGCAAACTATTGGTGTCTATAAAATACAATTCTTTATGTACACATAACAGGGTACAGGATCCTTTACGGGAATACCAAGCTAAATTAAATTTGATTTGGGATGCCTAATCTGGGTTGATTATCAGCAAGGGAAACACAAGACGGCCAACACATATTTTCTTTGATTGACCTTCATAGTAGTGAGTCGAGGTATGAATAGTCATAGAGGCGGCCAAACTGAAGTAGGCTTCCATATGTCCTATCCGAGATTCCAACGTAAAGTGTGTCCGTGTCGGGGCTGAAAGACATACCGGATACCTCACCAAAGAAATCCAGCTCCTGTCTCTTATTGTAGTCACTTTTGATGTCAAAGATGTGGACAAAGTCTGCTGCCTCTGCCATCGACAAGAACTGCCCATCAGATGTAAAACGAATAGATCTTATTGCTCCAACGTTGCCTCTCAAGACATGGACAGACTGGGAGAGATTTCTGGCATCCCAAATCCGGCAAGTTTTGTCTTGGTTACCAGTGGCAAATGTCAGACCATCTGGGCTCCAAGCCGATGCAAAGGAGTAATCCAAGTGACCTTTCACGGAATGAATAGTCTGCTTCAAGATAAAAGGCATATTAACTGGAATCCATGCACTAACACATATTCTGACTTTTAAACCGATTTTTGCAACAAAACACTCACCTTTCCTGAATTAGCATCAATGAGCAAAGCATCTGTGTCATCACCAACAATAATAACAAGCTTTCCATCAGGGCTCAATGATGTGTGCTGCGTCAACAAAAGGAACAGAGGTACGAAATCAAATAGGAGAGAACATGCAAGATCTCATGAATCATTATCATTTTCAGCTCACATTTGCACCCAACTATGATACATTACAGATACAGACGAAATGTGTTCTTGTGATGTCAGACACAAATAAACAGTGTTTAAAGTTGACACTTAATCACTTCTGTTTTTATCCTTTGCATACTGCTAAAGAAAAAAGATCAAAACGCAACAGAAGATTCATTCAACAAGAATATAGTTGCAATACTAAGCATTCCCAAATCGTGTTCTTACTGCACCATCAGCAATTCAGTCGTCATGTTTTCAAAGGTTGTAAACAAAATAGTAGCAAGACCAGAAACAATAAATACATTGAACAAAGTTTGTCCTATCATGGTGGTATTAGAAAAGCACCTTGCAAAGACTACACTTAACTATGTTATAAGTTGGTCCTCGGGACGATCTAAGCTAAAAGCAAAAATACCAGGATGGTATTAGAAATGATGTGTCACTCTCATCGCCGTCGTCGACGTGAGATAGCACAGGAGGAACAGAATTCAGCAAAAACAGGGAAGGGAAGGAGATACCCTTTTAACCTAGGTCAGTTCTGTATTATGAATTCAACATAGTTCTCTACATTACAGGTTCACGGCTTATATGCACATGACACCCCTTCCTCCACATGCGGGTGGACATGCACACACAACCCATTCAGTGTCTTGGCGTACTGGCGCTTCTTGCCTTGTCACTCTCTGTACTCGGCACCCCATCCCTAGCCGCCATGACATGATGGTGACGAAAGAGTGCTTGGTAGATGTATCTTTGACAAAGTCCACACTAACCACCACCACTGGAAAACAGTTCTGCTGGCAGACATGTAATAGGCTAATAGCTTAAGGAGAGCTTTCAGGAAATTCCAGCCACATACTTGGGTGCTCAATGTCCAGATGTCCTTTTATTCAATATTAACCTATGCAATGATTCCACTATCAATTGATGTCATTTAAGCCCTTTTAGCCTCTTTTTTTCCTCGAATACGAAGGAGAGCTTCGTATCTTTGTATTAATAGAGAGAAAGAACCGGCCCCTTAAAATCACCACCACCTCACTCCGAGCCGAGCCATGAGGGGTTGAATTTTACATGAACAGGACTTACTCTAAAGAAACAAGGGAGAGATGAGACCTGACCCAGAAAGAGCGAAGAAACAAACTAAGATAGCCCCAGCTCGTCTCCCTGACCTTGACCCAACGCTCTCAGACTTTCGAGCTCCAGCAAGACACCAGAGGTGTTGCTCTTCTCTGATGGAGGTCATTGATGCACGGCCACGCGCCGTCAAAAACACATGAATTACGGTGTTTCCAGATTTTACTCAGGCGCCCAAAATGATAATCGAGTTGAACCCTTTTCTTGTATCTTTCTGAATCTTTTTCACTGCTTTTCTCCACCAATCTGCAAAAGACAATTCATCACGACTTGGAACCCGATCTTGTAAGCCCAAAGGTGCAAGAACCCAGAACCAAAAATCCCGGGAGAACACACATGTGGTGAGCAGATGTTGAATGTCTTCTTCCTCCTGGTCACATAGTGGACACTTGGGCGGATGCGGAAGGCCTCGCCTCGCAAGTCTGTCCGCTGTCCAGCACCGATTCCAGATTGCGAGCCAAAGAAAAACTTTGCATTTTGATGGTGCCCAGGATTTCCATAGCCGACGCCAGTGCTCAAAAGGGATTGCTCCATTGAAGAAAGCACGACAAGCAGATTTGGAGAAATTACCCGAGCCATCCAGTTTCCATATATGTACATCTTCCTCCTGGGAAAGATGTATGCTGATTTCATGTGTTCTTTGCATCCTTGTATTTTTCATGTTATACTTATATTTGCCATTCGGCCATTCCTATTAATATTAATATTATGGAAGGGCAGACCTAGCATAGTGGTAGTATCTACTTGTGTCCTGGAGGTCCTGGATCCAATCAGACTCCGTGCGAAATTGGCAAGGTTAAGTCTGCCTAGAAATTCCCTTCCCCAGAGCCGACCTTGTATGGGAGCTTTGGGACCAGTACACCATATTAATCTGAATATTATCAGACGGATCCTTCCCTAATGAGAATCCAGCAATAGCTCCGGTTGGTAGAACCTCCAGCTTACCCTGGTTCAAACCTGGGAGCTCACAGGTCATGTGGGGGTCACCCTACTCTTTAGACAAAGCCTAGAAAACATCTTTTAAAAAAAATGAACTAGGAAACGAAGGCGGTTTTTTTGCCCTTAAGGGCATGTGCTCCCAGCACACCCACCATTGGATTCGCATTGAGAAGTGTGCACACACACATCTCAATGCAGATTCGCATTGAGAAGTGTGCATGCACACATCTCAATGCGAATCCAACGGCGTAGTGCGTAGGGGCACATGTCCTTAAGGGCACATTTAACTTTCTCACTAGGAAACATCTTCTCCCCATGGTAGCTTTATTTTTAGGATCCTTTTCTAGCGTTCTCATCAATAATAAATATATAAAATTAAGGAATAAAAGAAATTGGAAAAATAAACAGATTTACTTACATTCACTGGCCAATCAAATCGGAAATGCTTAAATAACTGATATCTTTCCATATCATACTCTCTTACCCCACAGTCATTGTTAGATGCAATGAAGTGAAGAGCTCCACTGAAAGGAACAGTGAGATCAATAAATATGAATGCCAATTGCCAATGCCAGTTTCATAAAAGTTCTGTTGACAGCAGTAGATACCAAAGGAGTAGGATTGAGAAGACACTAGTTGAGCTAAGATTTGATTCAAATGCTCTAATTTTAGGCTCTAACTTCTACTCACTCTATTCGAAATTGTAAGTTATTCTAGCTTTTCAAGATGCAAAGTTTTTACAATGTATCTAAACATAATGTATACCTAGGTACGTAGCAAAACGTATGTACCTAGAAAAAGCCAAAACAACTTACAATTTGAAACAGAGGGAGTATTTTGGAATTGGTGTCACAAGATAGGGTACGAGCTCAGCAAAAACATAATAATAAAAAAGGAATCCAAACAAGGGCCAAAATGGGCTTTTACACTTGATCTGATGTATGTTTCACAAGGTTAAATGGCTAGCCTGATCACTTACCTAGATGTATTGAATATCTCCAATGCATTGGTAATTGCATTATCATCATATGTTGTCCTGCAGCAAAAGCTTATTCCTTCTCGGTCAAGGTGCTGCATCATATTTACAAATAATAACATCAATAAATTATCAGTATCACAAGTTCACTAAGATTTCAGCATTCCCAAATTTAAATGCCATGGTACTAGCAAATTTTACTTTGCATATTAGCTCTCCTTGGAAACCACCAGCTACTAGCAAATTATCCTTCACTGCCATGGTACTAATTTGAGTATGAACAAAACCTTCTAATAAGCTTCCTGGGTGCTTCTGCAATAAGATAGGGCAACAGCATGAATAATTGAATATAGGTCATAATTGATTAAAAGAGAGAATAAATGAAGAATTGTTCCCCACCTCACTTGGTGCAACATGCCCATGTACATCCATAATTTCTGTATCCACGCCATTTAAGGCCGACCAGTGAAGTACAGAGTAATGCAATAACAGGTAGACATCATGTTTGGATGTCGCCCATACTAAATTTCTCAGCTGTAGGTATAAAAAACTCATTTTTTTGTTAACAAATAACATTTATGCACTGGAAACAGATTAAAGCAGCATCAATCAAGGCCGACCAGTGAACTACAGAGTAATGCAATAACAGGTAGACATCATGCTTCGATGTCGCCCATACTAAATTTCTCAGCTGCAGGTATAAAAAAAAGTCATTTTTTGTTGAACAAATAACATTTATGCCTGGAAACAGATTAAAGAAGCATCAATTAAGACTTGCCACAATTCATTTTTTTTCCTAGAAAAAAGTCTACTTAACTCCCTTAACAATTGGTGGTTGTCTACTTCACCCCCTCACCTATAAAACCAGTTATTCTACCCCTCAAACTATTGAAAACTATCTAAATAACCACCTGAGGCGGTTTTGAAGATTGTTTTACGGACGTGGCATATTAAAAAGTCTACATAATATCCATGGTTGACTACATAACCCCTTTAACTATAGAACATGATGTTGGCCTTTAAAAGTACCTAATAATAATGTTCAAATGACCCTTAATGGTTTTGTAGGGCCGTTTGGACACCGTACCGGCCACATTGGCCTAAGTACCCATGCTTGTACGCAGCCCCATTTATTGCCTCCAAACCCTACTCTTTCCCATAGTTCTAAATAGCGTCGGTAGCACCTGTACCTCTACCGCTACCGCTACAAAGTAGTAGACAAAAGATAGCGTGTTGGAATTTAGTGGCCGCTATTACTGTTGTTAAGCCACTATCCACTATGTGGATGGTTCAAGTGATGATGTGGATGGTTCCAATAGTAATAAAAATGTTAAGATGATGGTATGGACCATTATAAAGAATGATGGATGATTAATGGTATTACTTACAATTAATATGAGAACTTAACGATTATTTATTTCCACGTGTCCTCTTTATATATTATTTATTTATATGCTTATATGTGATTTTATGTCATTAAATGTAATAATTACCTAAAAACTTTTAATTATTTAAGTAGACATGATATTATTAGCATATGCTCCAAAAATTGACTAGTTTTAATATTCCGCTATTAGAATTTAGAGAGGGGGGTCATCTGAACATTATTAAATGCTTTAAGGGCTACAATACCAGGTTTTATAATTGAGGGGGTTATATACTCAATCCTTGATATGGTTGGGGCTTATGTAGACTTTTTAATATGCCATGTCAACGAAACCACCTTCAAAACTGCCTTAGGGGGTTATTTAGATGGTTTTCAATAGTTGGGGTAGAATAACTAGTTTTATAGGTGAGGGGTTAAGTAGACAAGCACCACTAGTTGAGGGGGTTAAGTAGACTTTTCCTTTTTTTTCCAACCTAAATATACAATTCGTTAAACAGGCTAGGCCATAAATTTAACTCGTCATGTGGCAATCAATCAAACCACTTTGGTTCCAGAGGTTTGGTATCATGTAGGGCAAGCACTATCCAAGAGGATCAAACACGGCATGCCGTAGGCACCATGTGCAATGCAGGCAACTGAAAGCGTGTAGAATTAGTGTTAAGAGTACACGTTACAACGAAAGGAAATATTCTATTCTGGTTGTTGTGCCACGAACACTGAGACTGGAACGAAACTCGATGAAGACGTATGTCGGCAATCCCTTGGTGAAGATATCGGTGTACTAAGACGAGGTTGGTACATGTAGAACGCGAACTGCCCCAGTAGCAACCTTGTCACGAACAAATGGAGATCAATCCCCATATGCTTTGGTGCGATGATGTTCGACCGGATTGGTGGATAGATACATGGCAGTCACGTTGTCACAAGCCTAGAACGAGACATTGTGTGCTGACACTTGTAGGGCCAAGAGATCAAGTTGTCGCCCAGAAAAACTGCATAACTGGACGTGGAATGCTGAGTGTCGGGACAACCAGCCCAGTTAGCATCAGAATACGCTGTTGGAATGCTGAGTGTCTGGACAACCAGCCTAGTCGGAGTCAGAATATGCCGCTAGGGAAGACAATGACGAGTAATAGAGCTGTAATCTGAAATCCAGAGTGCCTCAAACATACCGCAGTAGCCGCTTCACCAAGGCGTGATGAGGCTCGCGAGGGTCATGCATAAACAAACACACTTGCTGAACAACATAGGGCAATGTCAGGTCTGGTGAATGTGAGATACTGCAAGGCACCAACTAGGGTGCGATAGTCTGTAGCATTGGCCACGGGAGAGCCATCACTGGAAACCTTGCCAAAAGTGTCAATGAGCGTGGTACAAGGTTTACAATTAGACATGCAAGCATGCTCAAGAATATCCAGCATGTACTACCGCTGTGAGAGGAACAAAAAACCATCACGCTTGGTAAACGGTCACACCAAGAAAATGATGGAGGGGCTCGAGGTCCTTCACCAAGGAATCCTTAGTGAGGGCTGCAATGATGCAGCGAAGAAGAGCGTCAGACAAGACAGTGAGTACAATGTCATTAACACAGAGGAGTAACTATGCCAAATCAGAGCCATGCCGATAGATGAAGAGCGATGTGTCAGACCGAGCACCAATAAATCCCAGAGATAATAGGTGAGAAGCAAACAAACTGTACCAGGCATGCGGAGCTTGCTTCAAACCATAGTGAGACCTCTTGAGATGACAGACATAATCAGGATGAGAAGAATCCACAAATCTAAAGGGCTGCTCCCAGTATACAGTCTCCTAGAGGGTCCCATGAAGAAAGGCGTTCTTCACATCCAATTCATGAACTAGCTATTGATGCGCAAAGCAACATTGACTGTGCGAACAGTGGCTGGCTTAACAACCAGACCGAATATCTCATCATAATCAACACCAAGACGCTGAGTGAAACCACAAACCACTCAACAGGCTTTGTATCTGTCGAGAGACCCATCAAAAGCAAACTTGTGGCGATAGACCCACTTGCCAGAGACGACATTAGCCCCAGCCAGACAGGGCACAAGGTCCCAAGTATGATTTTGCTGTTGGGCGGTGAACTCCTCAATCATTGCCGCGCATCAATTAGGGCCGGCAACAGCACCACGGTACGTCATGGAAACCAGTGACAGTGTGGTGGCTTGAAGATTGAGACACCGGACAGGAATACGAAAGCCCCGTTTGCCTCCAGTGACCATGACATTGTCATTGGTTGGGGGTTGCACAGGCACGGCGTGCAAGGCAGGGGGGCGGGGGGTCGACGGTCACTGCAGCTGCTAATGTCTGCTGGCAACAACCGAGGGTGGAGCACCGCTCGGGGCAGTAGAACTAGGGAGTGGCGAAGGAAGCCCCAGAGGGTCAGCCGTGGTTGGTGAAGCTGCGGCGAACGCCGGGCGGCTGAGGCACCAGCAACGCTGGCCGCCAGGGTAGTTGAGGCACCAGCAGCACTTGTCGTTGGGGCTAGAGAAGCGCCAGGGGACCCGGTGACACTGGAGCCAGCAGGGGCAGCGTCACTGGCCAAGAAGCCGACGACCAATGGGCTGCACAGAAAACCCTTCATCTGCCAAAAAAATCATAAGTAGTTGGCGGTAATGGAGCCTCCAAGTTAACGAATGGAAACATGGACTCATCGAACACCACATGGCAAGAGAGAATAATTCGATTTGTGGAGGTCCAAAAAGTGGTAACCTTTATGTTCCGAGGGATAGTCAAGAAAAACGCACATAGTGGAACAGGGTGAGAGTTTGTTGGCGGCTGTGGCTCAGAGGTTGGGATAGCAGAGACAGCCAAAGACATGTAGATGGGAATAGGAGGGTTGAACCCCGTATAGGGCGAGATAGGGTGTGGCAAGGTTCAAGATTTTGGTGGGACGGAGATTGTGAAGGTAGGTGGCTGTATGAAGGGCTTCCACCCAACAGGAGGTCGGTAGGCTGGCTTGGAACATGAGGCTACGGATGATGTTTGTGGTGCGAATGATGTGTTCGGCTTTTCCATTTTGCGGGGAACATATGCAGGCATGACACGCAGAGAGCAATGCCATGGGAGAGGAAAAAGGAGCGCATAGATGAGTTATAAAACTCCTGACCGTTATCACATTGCACACTTTTGATGGTGGTGGAAAAATGGGTGCGAACATAGGCAAAAAAGTGTGCGAGTGTGGAGAACATATCTGATTTGAGACGAAGCGCAAAGGTCCACAGAAATGAGAACAATCATCAAGAATAACTCGGTGATATTTATAGCCAGAAATGCTGACAAGTCAAGAGATCACAATGAATTAAATCAAAATTCCTACCAGCACAAGAACACAAGGCAGGAAAAGTTAAACGACAGTGGCGACCGAGTTGACAGGCATGGCAAATGGACTCGGTGTCACGTTTACTACACTCGAGGGCTACAATGGGGATGAGTTTCGTCAAAGTCGGCGAGCTAAGATGACCAAGACGATGATGCCAAAGCAAGGTGGACGCAGCAAGGAGGCATGGCAAATGGATTCGGTGTCACATTTGCTGAAGCCTTTGATATACACCTAACATGCAGACAAGCAAATTGATAACTTATCCTCCTAACTAGATATCTTAACTAAGTGAAGATGCTGGCTTAATCTCCAGGCTGCGGTCGATGCTCAACTAACTGAACATGCAGGCAACTCAATTGCTGAAGACATTCATTCAGGCTGCTGGAGTTGCCACTCCTCTCACAGCACTGATAAGTGCAGCCCACAAATGCATCCACTACAACTTTACAGTTTATTTGTAATTTTGTATGATACACAAAGAAGGAAGGTAAAAATCCAAGTGCAAGTCAGGTTGAAAACGGACGGAAAAAATCCCGTTCCGACCCGTTCCATTTTCTATTTTGTTCCGCCCGTTTCCGTATTTGTGGGATCCTGTTTCCGCAGAATCCCGTTTTTATCCGGAATTGACCCGTATTTATTCCGTTTTTCATCCCGTTTTCTATCCATGTGAGATATGCCTAGAAATTGATATGTTCATAAACCTACTAATCACCAATTATGCATGTTAACGTGTTTAACACATGGCATGCTAGTGAATATTGGACTAACAACTTCGTATGTGTATATTATTTTATGACTTTGTTCATGTATACTAGAGAATATTCGATCATGTTATTCTCACTTAATTTTCCGGCTCTCCATCCATATTTGTCTGTTTCCGTATTTCCGTATATCTCCATCCGTTTTTAATTCCGTTTTTTTCCTGATTCCGGTCCGTTTCTGCTAAAAATATAGAAATGGAAATGGGAGAGGCGTTTTCCCGCCCGTTTCCGTCCGTTTTCATCCCTAAGTGCAAGTCAATAAATAGGTGAGAGGGATTCTCTAATTTATTTAAATTCTGCTGGTTATGCTTTTGAACCAATTTGGTACCGATCTACAAGAATAAAGGGGATATTCAAAGTTGTACTAATTATCGGGGAATTAAGTTGATAAGCCATACTATGAAGCTATGGAAGAGAGTTATCGAGCATCGCTTGAGAGCAATAACGCGGGTCTCTGTGAACCAATTTGGTTTCATGTCCGGAAGATCAACCATGGAAGCCATTTTCTTAATAAGACAAGTTATGGAGCGGTATAGAGAGAAGAAGAAGGACATACACATGGTTTTTATTGACTTGGAGAAGGCTTATGATAAAATACCAAGGAATGTTATGTGGTGGGCTTTGGACAAACATAAAGTCCCAACGAAGTACGTCGGGCTCATTAAGGACATGTACAACAATGTTGTGACTAGAGTTCGAACAAGTGATGGAGACACGGATGACTTCACGATTAGGATAGGACTATATCAAGGGTCAGCTTTGAGCCCTTATTTGTTTGCTTTAGTGATGGATGAGGTCACAAGGGACATACAAGGGGACATCCCTTGGTGTATGCTTTTCGCGGACGATGTAGTGCTAGTTGATGAAAGCCGGACAGGAGTGAATCAGAAACTGGAGTTATGGTGGGAGACTTTGGAGTCCAAAGGTTTTAGACTCAACAGAACTAAAACTGAGTATATGAGATGTGACTTCGGCACTACTACTCGGGAGGAGGAAGATGTTAGTTTGGAAGGTCAAGTAGTGCCTAGGAATGATACATTTCGATATTTATGATCAATGCTACAGAGGGACAGGGACATTGATGAAGATGTTAGCCATAGAATCAAAGCAGGGTGGATGAAGTGGCGGCAAGCGTCTGGTGTCCTATGTGACAAAAGGGTACCACAGAAGCTAAAAGGCAAGTTTTATAGGACGGCGATTAGACCTGCTATGTTGTATGGTGCAGAATGTTGGCCTACGAAAAGACGACATGTTCAACAGCTAAGTGTCGCGGAAATGTGTATGTTGCGTTGGATTTGCGGTCATACAAGAAGAGATCGAGTTCGGAACGGTGATATACGTGATAGATTAGAGGTAGCGCCAATTGAAGAAAAGCTTGTCCAACACCGGTTGAGATGGTTTGGACATGTGCAACGGAGACCCTGAGAGGCACCGGTGCGCAGTGGAATCCTAAGCCAGGATAGTAACGTGTAGAGAGGCAGAGGAAGACCGAAGTTGACTTGGGTAGAGGCAATAAAAGGAGACTTGAAAGGATGGAATATACCCAAAGACTTAGCCTTAGATAGGAGTGCTTGGAAGACAGCTATTCACGTGCCTGAACCTTGATTGCTTCTAATGGGTTTCAACTCTAGCCTACCCCAACTTGTTTGGGACTTAAAGGCTTTGTTGTTGTTGTTATTGTTGGTTATGCTTTTGAAGAACAAATACTTTCTACTGAAACATTTTCAGACAAGTTAACAATATCACTTTAATAAAAATTACAACATTTTAATTTGTCCTGCATGTGCTTGACACTAGGAAAAGAGTTTCAGGCATCTGATTTGAAATGTTTCAATCTAATTATGCCTTTTGTAATTATTTTACAGAAAATTACCTTCATAATAATCAAAGGCAAGATGCACATGTGATGATGTCAGTGCACTCACCTGAAAGTGAGAGATAGTGGATTTCACGGATCTAGTATTTCGTCTGAATTCGTAATATGTTCTTCCTTTCTCGGTAGATTTGCATGCCTGTTTCAACACCAATATAAATCCCAATGTGATAAGTTTTTTTCGGTTGATTTACAAACTGTACCATCATTGCTGCTTCTCCAGAATTAGGTATGTTCTCGTAGTTCTTGTACTGCTCTAGTCGGGCCTGCCTGTATGTTTCTCTTGTGACTTCTATCGTCTCCCAGGGTATTCCTTGAATATCTTTCCCACTTCTTGCCTCTGCTGCTGATGTGTCGGAGAGCTTATGCTAAATAAAATAGAGATTTCAGATAATTCCATGAACTGTAAAAGTAATTGAAACAAAACTTCATGTAGATACAAGCTCTATGGCATATTCTTGACTCCAATTTCAGTTGCTCAGAACTAAAACATTGTATAAATTAAGATTTCAGCGACCTTTTCTTTGCGTTCGACATGAACACTGAAATGTAATGTAAAGTTGTAGATATAACAAATAACAAAGTATGTAAAGCTGAGAGAAAGGGAAAATAAGGTGTCGAGGAATGGCACATGGAAAATGAATAGGGCATTCAGACAGCACTATCAATATCCTTCGAAAGATTATGTTTCATCAGTAACCCTACTAATTGTAGCATTAGTTCAACATCATCTAATATCTATGCATCTCCTCATTGCCACATTTATTCACACCTCAGAGGTTTAAAATTTAAGTAAATTAGCTCAACCAAATTTCATAGCCTCAAAAAGTTAGTTTTATCAGCAGAATCACTACAAGTAAATTAAGCACACACAAAGTATTACTACTAGACATGTCTCCCAAAGATAAAAGAAAAACGTTCAAATTAATAGCCACCTACCAATTGGTCCGCATCGTCTTCTTCCTCCGCATCAGAGTCCCTAACCACGAGCTCTTGGTACTCATCCTCCCCCTCCATGTCATGGACTGCCCCGTTCATGTCGTGCTCATCCTCCATCTCTTCAAAATCGCCGCTGTGATAATGAGACATGCCTAGTCCTCGGCAAGGGACATTCAAGATTGATTGCTCAAGCGAAGGAAAGCCTAGGATAAATTTAAGGAAAAAAGTCCCGGCGGCAGCGCGATGGGGCTCGGCGCCCGGCCGTCCCGGTGGCAGCGCTGCAGGACAGGCGAGGGCGAAGGCTCCGGTGACAAGGGGCCGCGGCGGCTGCTGAGGGGCGGCGGCGCGCTGAGCTGGTCGGGGCGTGCGGCCAGCGAGGGCGCAGACACGGCGGCGTCGCAGAGCAATTTGGGCGGAGACGCTGTGCGGTGGATTTGGGCGAGGAGATGCACGGAACGGAGACGGATTCTGCCTCTTAGGCTATCTCCAGTTCTCCACCGACAAACACCCAAAATAAAAAAAACCCAGCGCTACATAAAAAAGCTCAAATACCTGTTCGTCGTCTTCTCCAACGATGAGACCCAAAAAAAAAATACTTTCTACAAATAGATTTTCAGGAGATAGAATATTCATATTTGGGTTGTGCCTATCAGACAACCTAAAATAGGTCTCCCGTATATGTACTATGTTGGAGACTGATTTTGGATCTCTCGCTACATATTTTAGGTTTGAGTGTCCATATGGATTCCGGAGACAGTCTTATGCGCCACATGTACCTGACGAGCGGGCCCAAAGACCACCGTGGCCAACTGAGCTAGGACGTATGTCCATGTAAGCCAAACCACCCTGTAAAACCAGGAGTATTTTAATCTGTTTGCAAAGCTTCAATGTGTCAAACAGATGGTTTTGTAGTTCAGGGAATTATAGACACCCTGTTATAGGTGAAAGGGTTATCTAGAGTTTTTCCATAAATTTAAGAACTCGAGCAAGTTGAGGCTTCCTCACCGACAAAACGAATTAGTTCGAACAGAATTTCCTTGAGCCGATGCTATCCGACTGAGCAGAGAATGGAGAATAGAAGGGCAGCCGGCAGCGCCGACGAGGTGAGGATGCGGGTTGTGGGGGTCGCCGCTATATTGCCACCGCGAGGTCCCTAGGAGTGCGCGTAGCAACTCCTCTTTATGATCTTTGCGTTGAGTTACACACACATACCTTATACAAGGCTTATCGGACAACTCAATTACATGTATACTCCAGTCTTCAACACATAACTGAAACATCATTGGCTATAAAATAAGTTTTAAGACGAAAACTACTACTAGTACTAGCATTCTATCTATTTACTACCTTTAGTCTAAATTACATCTCATTTCACTCATCTACTTATAGGGTTACATGCAGCTCATCTTCGGGAACTTCCAAGATCTAATAACCGTGGCATTTATCGGAGCTACTCTCGGAGGAAAACCTTATCAATCTGCAAAACGACTTAACGGCAGCGACGTGAGTACATTTCGTACTCGCAGGACTTAATTCCAACACATAGATATTTGGTGGATGCAAAGGGTATTAATAGGTGTTTGTACATTTGGAGAAAAGCACATGGCGTTTATTAAGAGTATGTCATGCTATGCTCCAATACTTAAGACAAGAGTGGTTATATATCACATTTAAGATATGATGCTCATATTCCATCAATTACGCTACCATGGGTATAGAAAGTAGGAACAACCGAGGGTTCCGTCCCAAGGACTTTAGGCTTTCAAACTCTACGCGGAGAGTACAATTGTACCCACACGGAGAACGGGACTAACCTCCATACCCCGTGCACCAGAGGTAAGGGTTGCCTCACGTTTCCATCCTTTACCTAATCTGGCCTGAATGTCCGACAAAAGGTTCGACTGGTGCCCGGTTAATGTCTCGGACATTCTCGACCGACGCCACCCCCTTGCTAGTTTCACGGATAAACCGGTCATGATTAGTTACTTGGCTTGTCGCCCCCATTTGCGACATGTGGTATGTACGGGTGGTTACTCGGACTCACGTATCCAATAAACGGTCCTTAACTGCTCCACGAGCTACATCGTTTGAGATCTCACACTCACAGCGACCTACCCCTCGTATGAGCATTGTTACCAAAGTGTTGTCCAAGTTCATAGCTTTTAGTGATATTATTCCTTAGCCCAATTAATAAAGTGAGTCACGTTGTATTCCATCCGTTTTAATGATTAGTTATCCAGGTATAGTATCCTATACGCGCGAGGATAGTTTCCTTTTCATACTCGACTTCTATCGTAATTAAGTAACTAAGCAATAAGCAATTAAGTGTTTTCTATTCCCCTTGTTTAGATGAAAGGTTTCTAATAGATTAATGAGTAGTTCTAACTTAGTAAGACAGCATTAAGTTGATTAACCAAACTACATGAGATGCATGGCTCATAATGGAACTTGATAAGTATCCAAAGTAAAGTTTATAGTAGTGGGGTGTCTGCCTGATTTGTTGCCGTCCTAACTCTCGTAGCTGACGATGACAACTTGTACAATTACACGATCCTTACTCGAGACATTCCTAAAAGAATAAGGGAGAGCACTTGAGGGGATACATCGACGATCGAGATAACGAGAAAGGATATGGGTGAATGGGTCAACATTGGGAACCTAGGAAGAGGCATGTAACTGTGGCTCCACTGTACACTATTCGGTAAAGGATATAAACTAGTATGGGTGGCCTCTAGGGTAAACTTGCTAAATAGGCTTCACACTCTCTGTGGTTTGGCGGACACTCCGTCTTAGCTGACGGACACTCCACTGTGCTGAGTTGCCTCTGAGTAGGTCCTATTTCGGTTGGCGGATACTCAGTGGAGGTCATGGACATTCCAATAAGAACTAGGATGTCTCGGGTTACTAGGTTGTTGTCCTCTATAATCCATCGGGTGCTCCATCGTGAGTGACGGGCACTCCGATGTGAATTGGTTACTCTCGGGTTGCTGGCTATAAGGCTCTATAGTTCAACGGACACTCCGGTGGTCTAGGCTGACTGAAGGTAAGGCTTCCTAGTGGCTTCTCGTGGGTTTGGCGGACACTCCGTCGAATTGACGGACATTCCGTTATTCGGGCGACAGGACCTATGCTCTTGGCAAATCCTAGGTTCAAGCTTAGATTTATGGAGTTATGCATCTTTCATGTGCCAAACATTCCTAAGGTAGCTTAGGTGGCTTACTAGGCTCAAGGTAGCTAGGTTTTGAGGTAGTTATACTAAGTGTTGCTTAGGCTTTAGGATTCAAACCAAAACTTATGAGAAATAGATAAACCTTAAGATTGAGCTAGAGATCCTTGGCTTTGAGATTTCAGAGCTGTCGTAGTCAAAAGATTGAAGATCCAACTCTCCTTTCATTCAAGCTCCTTTTTCCCAACATGCAAGTCTTCCATCCATCATCCTCTCCTTGCAATAATCCAAACAAATACCTTAAGTTGGATACATGAGATGACAAGATGGTGGAGGTGGTTGAGGGTCACTTGGACTTACTCAACACATGATTGAACCACCTCTAGCAAGAGATCTCCAAGCTTCCACCAAAATCCACAAATTAGACTTTTGGGAAAATCCACTAAATAAGAGTTAATCTCTTGAGCTCACTATGATTGGGTTGATGAGATCCATAGGGGGATGCTGATGCTTCTCTTCTTCTCCTTTTCCCCCTCCACTCCCTTCTTCACTCCTTCCTCTCTCTAGTTCTAGGGTTCTTCCTTGTTCATGAGAGTTAGAGAGAGAGAGAGGGAGAGGGTTGCAAATGAATGGATAAGGGAGAAAGTGGGTGAAGGGGTGTGTTTTCTACTGAGGGCTTATGCCAACTCGCGCTGACATGTGGGTCCACTTCCACAATTGGAAAACAGCCCAATTCCACTTAATTCTGTTCTGGTTTATCCTCTGTCGAATGGTCCGGTAACCTAGGGGACGGTCTGGTGGTCTCTATCTTTGCTAAATTGGTTGAGCCATTGGATGGTTGGTTGTGGTGACCAATACATTGCCCTTGAATAGTTTCTTGGGGCTAGGTTGGTGTTGATGATGTCCAAAGGATAAATTCTAATCCATGTAGAAGTTTTCTTTCATTCCGGATGCGAGCCTGACGATGACTGCTCGTGGGTTCACACAAGGTGCTTCGGCGTGTTGTCTTGCGTAATTCACCAAAAATCTTTGGAGTGACTCGGTAGGTGATTTTCCTTAGTGGTGAAAATGATTGCCTAGGGTGTAGCGAATTTGGATCGTTACAATCCTCCCCTCCTTATAAAAAGCTCGCAATCGAGCTTTTCCGAGGTTCTATTGGGTATTATACTTGGGGAAAGTTCGGGGTTCCACTTATGCACTGTAAAGTATTCCCTTTGTGCTCCAGCGACCACTTCCTCTCTAGGGTCACAGAAGTATGGTGACTCCCTACCCTCCGGTGCTCCTTTTTCTCATTTTAGCATAATCCCGAGGTTAGAACTTTGGTTGTTATCTTGAACTTTAGGATATGATATCCTTGGGCACCTTCTGCCTTCTTGGCGGACAGTCTTGTTCACTCGACGGTTAGTCTGATAATCTCAAGGGACTTAGCAGTTACTCAGGGTTTAGTTGTCTAATTGGCAGACGATCCATGGCCATGACGGACTCTCCATTGGTTCGCGAACTATAAATAGGCCAACAGGGTCAGTGGGTGTCACTTTCCTTCCCTTTTCTACCCGGCCATGTCGTTGTTGCCTCCGTCGTCGTTGCCTACGCCTTCTCCCTCGTCGTGCGCGTGTTCCGGGTGATCCTTGGAGGTTCTGAGGCTTCCACGTGCGCTTCACACATGGTGGGAGGGTGAGTTCTAATCCCTATTCTTCCCATGCATCTCATATTATCCTTGTGCATTACTTAGGGTTACTTGGGTCTCGTATTTGGTTAGGGTAAGTACTAAACCGCCTTGGGGTTGTTGCTGAGTACCCTTCCTAGTGTACTTGTGTTTGGAGTGACGAAGTAGTGTTGCTTGGTTATGAGGATTTGATGGTACTAAACTCTTACGGTTTTCGTGCTCACTGCTGTAGTTCCCGAATCTATCGGATGGTCCGAAACTCAGGCGGAATGCTCCGATAGCGTGCTTAGTCATTTAAAATTCCTTTTGGCACTGTCC